AAAGGCTTTGACGTGGGTGCACTAGTAGGCTTATAAAATGCCCCACAATGCTCCTTAGCAACTATTTACAGAAATGCAGCATGGGAGTACGCAGCGCTTCCCCTCGTTAACAATGTGCATGGCTGACAGGTGCGAAAACTTCACAGTAAATATTGAAAAAGCTCTTGTGTTCACGGGGGGCCTTCACTGGTAAAAAGTATAGTTGAAAACTCAAATACCGAGCAAGGAAGAGCGGTGTGAGAATACCAAACCGTATTTGCATAACTTGCTAAAAGACTGTGACGCAGCTCTTTTTATCGTTTCTCTTTCAATGTATGTGGGTAACCAGTTTTTTCGCAGTATGTTTTCGTGGGCGGAAGCTGTTCACTTTCTTGGATTTTGTTTAGCTGACCGTTTCACTGAAGCTATGAATACTTGTTTAATATTTCGTGTATGTTTTGCGGGTGCTCGATTACTCTTTCCGGTACGTGTAAGGTACGTGTTTGTATTACCGCAGTGTATTATCTCAAATTGATTGATTGATTCGTGGGCTTGAACGTCCCGAAACCACCATATGATTATGAGAGACGCCGTAGTGGAGGGCTACGGAAATTTTGATCACCTGGGGCTCTTTAACGTGCACCGAAATCTGAGCACACGGGCCTACAACATTTCCACCTACATCGGAAATGCAGCCGCCGCAGCCGGAATTTGATCTCACGACCTGCGGGTCAGCAGCCGAGTAGCTTAGCCACTAGACCACCGTGGCCTGGCGTATTATCTCAAAGCTTACCGGACTTTTTTTTATTCTCGCGTCTTAAGTTCGCATTAGGCTGCATGTGTTTTTATTGTTAGTCATACATGCTTTTGTTCTGATGTGTTTTTTATGTGTCTACCGACTGAAACAACGCTATGTGTAATATTCTAGTGTTAAGTACCCACTCCTGACTTTACTTCTAAAAGGCAGCCCATAGATAGTATACACACATAAAGCACTCCCGCCGGGCCTAGCGGTCGAGCTATATACTGCGCTGCTTTCCCGCCACGAGTGGCTGATCAGACCCAATAATGTCTTCAGCATAAATAACAAAAATGTTTTTTCCATGCTGGGAGTTGGGTTCGTACGCTCATTCTCCGTAAGTGAATGTCGTTTCGTTACCATTAGACTGCACACCCATGCTTCTACGAAGAGAGTGCATGTACAATACATGTAAACCACATGGTAGTACCCTCTGTGCAAAACAAATGTAGAAACACATCACTTCGTTGTCGGATTTTGTGATTTTGGTGGTAACGCATTAAAAGTCCTCGACGGGACACGATGTGGAGGGGATATTGAGAATCGTGTAAATCAATAAAATTTCTTCTTTGCAAATATTTGATGCCAAACTTTGATTTTCAATGTCCTTCTAAGGAGATCACTACATGTCTTGACAAAGGAGTAGAAGCAAGCATGGGTATGCCAACTAGCGGTTGTTCAGAGCCTTTCTTGTTCGGCCGCGAAAAGGCTCGAGTGGCCACTCTTTACATAGTATATGGGCAGCCAGTAGCATTAGATAAATAAACAAAGAAAAAAGCGAATCAGCCGCTCGTACGGTCACGTGTTTTACCTGCAAGGTCTTGGTTCACCCATCGCGAACGAAAAACTTCGTACAATTAGCGTGCGTTGCCTTGCAACTTCCAGTCTAGCTTCGCGCCTGCTTCGCTAGCCCAGATATAGCTCCTGCCTTCTGCGATGAGCGGTGACATCACCGTAGCTTTCCTGAGGACTGTTCCGCCCACTGGCCTCGACCCTGCGCACGTCTCTCTCCTCCACCAGTTAAGTAAAGGGCGAAAAACTGTTCAGAAACCAGCGACATCAGCATGGTGAGTTATGTGAGTAGCGATTTAAGCACGACTATTTGTAGGGAGAAAAAAAAAACACTATTAGTGAAAAGCCCTTTTTGATTCAACGTTAGAGCAGTCGATATGTTTTACAAATGACATGTCTTTCCCCAACGATGCCATGTTGGTATAATAAGCAAAGAATTTATCGCAGTTTTTATTAATACAAGAATTCTTTTTTCTAGCGCCCCCTTGTTATGCTATTATTACTCAGCGCATCCCTTGCACTGCATGGAAAAGCACGTCCGCAAAATTCATCTGCGAAGACATACTCCCTCACGTGGTTTAAGTGTTCCGCACTTGCTTGCATTCCCTGCCGCGCGCGAAATTGTGAGGTGCGTTTTATCGCTGCATGATGAACGTCTTGAGTGAAGTGCCGAAGGGACAGCGGAACGACGCCGTTATCATTTACGCTGTGTGGTTTCGTCGGTATCTGCGGAAACGATGTGCTGTGCAGGGATACAGTATGAACAAGCGTATGCCTGACGACCCATGTCTTCTCGATAGGAAAATGGGGCAATGATTCGTAGTACAGTGCTCGCTGTACTTTCATTCGTCAGTGTACCTGCAGCCCGTTTTGCTTTTTGGAGTATGAAGTGCCTACTATTAATCGCATTATCGGTAAGCAGGTCGTCAAGTTATCTATAATGCTACAATTCGCATGTCTCCGTTCATAAATGTAGGGGTAATAAATTGGAGAATAATGAAAGTAAAGATAACGCAAATAATGTCGCCGACTTTTTGCGCTTACTTCATATTGTGCACTGTAATGAATTGGAGTCATTGTGACCACTGAACTTATCTGAAAGGTCATATTGTGGCGTTACTAGGCGTCACTTCTTTGTATTAAAGTCAGTCGGTACTAGATCAGTCAGTATTAGATTAGCTGGCGTTAACTTAAAGCGCACTGGTGAAGGACTTGCCGGTGATCGCCCTAGCGCGAGTCCTTGGCGATCAGGGGTCTATGAAAAGTAATTTGAGATCAAGTATCGCGCTACTGCACACAAAATGACGTCACTTGTGTACCAGCTATTGCGTGATATCTGCTTTATTTTTGTTCTGCTGGAAGTGTTTCCTTCTCACAGAGATGGCACTAAACCTCATGAGCATAGCTGATCAGCCGCCATTTTCTGAACGTAAGGACTTTTATGGAGCCTTCGCTACCAGTTTTATCTACCTTCATGAGAGGATTAGCTGAGTACCGTGGCCTTTGGGTATTCGTATGACACACTGGAGCTTTTAGCGCACGATAAAACATGGACAGAGATAAACATGACACACATATGTGCTAACGTGCAACAAACTTGACACACATATGTGCTAACATGCAACAAAGTTTATTCCGGAAACAGGGAACCACTAAAAAAGACATCATCGCTTTAAAATCAACATGACTAAACGCCTATCTTCACGAAGATATGCTAACTCCTTACAGAACAGAACAATCGGCAATTGAGAAACATATTCTGCCAGGCTATAAATCATTGCAGGCTTCATTATTTCGCGGGATAGGTGACCTCTGCTGGTACTAACAACTGAACACTCGTGAAAATGGCCCTGTACATGGTATGAACATTAGCACTTGCGTTACTGCACCTGAGTTACTGCAATGCCTAAAGTAGTCATACCATGTACGTAAGAGCTCCTTACGCCATGCGTCGTACGTCTCATGCCGTCGTAGTAGCCAGTTTTCAAGGTCATAAAATTGCGTTACATGTCAATAGAAGCAGCATCACGGCATATCCGGGAGTGAATGATCATGAGTGGGGCGAAGTGTCCGTCAGTCAGTCCGTCCGTTCGTTCTTTCGTCCAGCTTTCTGCCCGTCCGTGCGTCGCGGACCTATACAACGGCCCTTGGAATTAGCTGAGCATTCCCCTTGCTAATTAACAGGATCAGTGACAATTGTTCTGGTGTCAGCCACCAGAACTTTTTGGTGCACAGTGTGTCCAAAATAGTGAGAAAGAGCCTCAAGATGTTGGTAGTGCTATCAGAACGATTTTAGTGTGCGGCACGCCATTCTCGCTACGAGTGTGCAGAGTGTTTCGATAGCCAGTGTTAAGCCGATATTTTGTGCATGCGGCTAGAATTTTATTTGCGAGGCACCATAGATCTCGAGTAGTAGCTCTTGGTGAAAAGACGGGTCTTTCTGGCGCCGAACTATGAAAGTGGGTGAGTCAGAAGGAGAAAGAGGTAATTGAGAGAAAGAGGCTGGTGGCTGAGAGGGTGAAAGAGAAAGAAAGCAACAACTGAAATTGGAGTGGGAGAAAGAAAGCCTGGCAGCCAAGAGAGCGAAATAAGAAAGAGAGGCAAAAGAGCTACAGTTGAAAGAAGAGAGAGAGGTGAAGGAGCGACAGTTGAGGGAAGAAATGAAGTGGAGATGGCCGAAAGGGAGGGACAGCTGTAGCACGTGATGGCACTGAAGCGGCTCCGTTTGCAACAGCGAAGTGAAACTTTGGTCCAGGCTATGGTTGAAAAGAGCAAACGGGAAGATAACGGATTCCGCTTGAACCCAAGCAAACTGCTCGTAGCGTTCGACTAGAGGAGGGTGATGCAGGGCCCCTGTTCAATATTACAGGGCCCCTGTTCAACGCTTGCCCCGTCTGCAATACTCCAGCACAAGACGCGAAAGCGTCGCATAGGCGACCCGCACCGCAAAGAGCCTACAAAAAATCATCATAGCGGAACTGTTGCCAAAATTTCATCATGTTGTAGCATAGCCTCGTAAAAATTTCGTTCTTCCATAAGAACATATTTGAGTGATGACTGTTGTGACAAAAAACTTCGCCTTACTTGTTAGTTTCCCCACCGTGCAGCCAATAGTTACAACTGCCGAAAGTGGGGGGGGGGGGCAACTATTCCCAGTGGAGAGGCGCTCGTGCCCCCTTACCTTCGCCCTCCCCCTGGCTGATACGCCTACGCCTAATGCTATTGCATTAGTCGTTCTAGGACCGTTTTATTTTGACGGCCAATATTAGCGGTTTGAGGCCCAGATGCAAAGCGAGGCTACCGATCGGAAAAAAGGTGATGCTTGGACCATGTCGCGTTCCAACGTTGAACAAGATGTGTCCTCTGAGTTTTTCTTTTTCTTGTTCGCTCTTATGATACGATTCCTAATCGGTTGACGTAATCTCTGCAGAGGCCTGCCCCGCGGTGCAGATGCTAAGCAGCTCTTGCCCAGCCGTGGTGCAGTCTGGCAGCCTTGTTCCTGCAATGCAGAGGCTTCTTCTCGACACCTGCGAGTGGCAACAGACGTGCTATGCTTGCGTACGTATTGAGTCAACTACTGTTTCATACTTCGTGAATCGCCTCCGTAGAAAACTAAAAATGTTTGGCCCGATGGCGCAAAAAGTTTTATTCATGACGTGAGAGAGACACGAATACTCTATACTCGAGTCAATACCACGCTCGTATTATCGCGTTCTATCAGGAACTCCGTAAAGTTGGCGAAGGGATTCATTCTCTCCATGAAAAAGTGAAGTTATAACGTAGCAACACCCTGCGCGGCACCACGTTAATCTATCTGCCGGGCCGACGCCTGCGCTTGTGAAAAGAGCTCAAGCAGCGCCCTGACACACAACCTTCCTCGTCCGGGTACGTTGAAGTCAAGCGACGAGATGTTGCCAGCGCGCGACGACGGCTGGAGCAGTGATTGTGCGAGCAAGCAAGGCATTTTCCAGGAGTGTCGTGTTACTTAAAAAACATGAAATTACGAACGAAACCACCGCAATGTCGCCTAGCTCCATCTGATGCACCACTTCTGGTTGTGTCTATTGTTTTTTGTCTGCGCATGGCGTCCTAACTCGACAGCTTTAACGTCCACACTCGAATATCTGAAGTGTATTGAAAGCAATCACAGCTTTTTATACTTTTTTGTGGAATAAAGATAGTTGAATTTGCTAGGAAGTCATGTTTGTTGCAATAATTCGGGTTGAACCTTTGGTCATCATCCAGCAAATTTCTGGGTTAGACCGAGAACTTGGTAAAATCAGGTGTCTTTCGATCAAGTGTTCTGGGCATTTGTTATGCTGTTTATGTTAGTTTTTTGCATGCAGGCTACTACTCACATACTCCGTATGTAATGCCTTCGGGCCTTTAGTCCCATGAATAAATATGTGCTGAGGACCCTTGCTTTTGTTGGATGCATAGTCACTTAGTTTTCTTGGTGCTTGTTACTTATATATTTCCATTGTGCCGCACCACAAACGCGTCGCGATATCAGGGCGATGTTTCTCTTTTGAGTTTTCAGTCAGGTGACATATAAGATGTCTGGTCACAAGGCGAATGAATTCTTGGGGAGTCATTATTCTACGCAATATCAACTTTTGGAGCCTGTCTGTGTTCTCGAATCAATCATTTATCGCTACTGAGGTCAGAAAATCACTGCACCTGTATTTCCGCTGCCACGCATGACGTGGTTGTTGCTAAATTATTAGAAGTTCCCGCTGTTTTTATCGGCTCAGTTGCGAATGTAAACTACGGTATTGTACAATGCGCATGTCGTTCACAATTGTTCTATCGAGTGCGCAGATGCTTCTGATGTGGTAGTTGACTTTCTTGCATTCTGTTTTCGGCACTCGCAGATAAAGTCACTGAAACACAAAAACTGTTGCTTAGAAGAGGGAAAACTCGGGAACACAGTTGCAGAGCTGGCTCATAGATCTGTCCGGGTTTAGCTACACGAGTGTGTTCGGAGCGATGCCTGGAGTGTTGACGGCACACTGCTGTCCCGCAGGGTCCTTACTACGGCCTCGGAGCTGAAGATTGCGAGGCCGGTGCTTCTGCGCGGTTCACGCAGCTGCTGATCAGTCAACTCTTGATGCGTCGAACCAAGAATGTCGAAACCGAAGCAGCGTGTTCCGAGTCCTGCGTCGCAGGCTTTCTGCTGAGTCACTGAGCGCAAAAGGACAGCCATGGCCTACGGCGCTTACAACTTCACAGCGGAGATCCTTGCAAGAGAAATTTCGCCACTCGTGAACGGCAGAACCTGAAAAGAAAAAAAAATGCCACGAAAGCCAAGGCGACAGGAATTTAGTTTCCAGTTTCGCATCATTAGCGTGTTTATTTCACCACTGTTGAACCCTGCCCATGTCTGTCAGTTATGCAGTCGGTCAGTCACGATAGCTTCAATACTTCACTGTCTCCATTTCTCTGTGTTCACTGTTTTTTTTTCAGTACATGTAAAAAATGTGCGTTGTCAGTACAGAAGGTACTTTCTATGATTTAGCTCTACTTGATGTATTCAATGAGAGATATTCTTGGATGCCAATTGTATACGCATGCCTTGTGGATGAGTCGCAGCTTTCACGTTCTGTTTAGAAGCGACGAACTCGGACGCAGGGATAAGAGCACTTTTCCGTGCTCATTTGTCGCGCGAACATATGTCAGCTCACCTGATATGTCCGAGTAATGTGAACCTTAATTTGTTGTTCATTTGACACAGTGTCAAGAACAATGACGGATGATACATATAGTCTTCATGGCGTACCCTCATGCTTCACAGGTATCTTTGCGTGTTTCTGAGCGTAAAATAATTTTAAATGGAAAGCCTTCAAACGGCTATAAAACTTTGCATGATTTATTACCTGCCATTTTTGCGACATTATTCTGTGGTGCCTATAAATGTTCCAAATACCTGCCTAAACCTTGAGAAGCGGTGACCTACCAAATGCCCGCCAAGGCTCCTCGCTAAGGATCCATAAAACCTATATAAAAAGTCACCCACTGAGACTCTCGATGACGATGTCGAGCGTGTTAATTGCTGAGCAGTGAAGTAATCATTTTAATTGTGTTGTTTGACTGCCACATGAGGTTCCCGCCGAAAAGTATGAACTTCGAACCATGCATGTGTTTCTCAGTTTGTTTGTGTGATAGTGCAGAGCTTTTTTTCTGCTTAATGTACCCGCGCAGTTATTGTTGGTTAAACTTCCTGCCTTTCACTCAACCTTACTCTCTCTCCGCAGTTATCGCTGTGTTGTAACCTAAGTTTTACCACGGGTCACTATTTTCAAGGATCGTGGCTTATTAAAAAACACAAAATATCTTGCATCGTTGATATATAATGCATATTCTTAACACCCAGGCTGAATATGCCAAATATACAAAAGGTCATCACAAGAATTGCCTAAAAAAACTGTCGGGCTCATAGGAACAAATGTTCGGTGAAAGCTTGGGTGTTCACTTTAACAAAATGTAGGTTACAAGCTGAAACAGGTTTTTATTTCAGTATTCTCCTCCGTATGAACGATAGAATTTTCCATCTTCGTATTTTTTTAGAACTACGAAGAACCTCTTCGCAGGGTGGTCTAAAGCAGGTCTTCACAACCTTCAGCTACTCTACGTCCACAAAACAAGAGATGTATATGCAATACGTGCACTGCGATTTTCGTTGATACGTTGCACATATTTTGCCCACGAGGGGAAGGGGACAATAAATTCGCGACATATTCCTAATGGAGACTGCGCAAAGGTCGTTTGTGGTGTCTGCACAAGAGAATAAATACAGCAGCAGTGTGGTGAACATACCGAGTGGTGCATGATTTTAGGCAGAGATGAATCCCACTGTAACGGCCTCATTTTGGCGTGGTTTCTTGTTCTTTGTGCCTGTTATTCATAATAAAATGGGATGGCAGTCTGAGTGTATACGCATGTAGAATTGATGTGCCATTTTTTTTGAGTAAAATGCTGCGGGTGTGTTCAAAAAATGTGATACCAATAAAGAATAACTATATACTGTTGAATGGTTTTTGTATTTTAAAAACAATAATACTTTTTTGTGATTTTAAATGTACTTTTTTTCTCATTTGTGGCGTTCTTTACACGCTTGAGAAACGGTAAATACGTTTTCATTCACTTACACCACTCTACAAAGTAACAAATGTGCGTTCATTTTCAGATTTAGCAATGAAAACTTCGGCAGTTGAATTGTACAAACATTGACCTGCCAGCGTGATAGCTTAGTGCGCCCACTAGCAGAATTACTTATCCACTGTGAATGAATTAAAAGAGACGATTTTAAGGACTCGTTTTTTTGTTTGACGAAACCCTTCTGAAAGCCAGCCAATAATTTAGTCGAGGAATGTATAGGTCACCTTCATTGTACTGTTTTACGTGTATTTACGTGATACATACGTAACGAAAATAATGTGAACGCAAAGAGAACTTGCTGCCGGCAAGGGCACAGCTTTGTATCTTAAGTTAGCAGGTTTGCTCTCTGCCACCCGCTAGTTACCTTTTTGTGCACTTTTTTTCTTCACTTGTAGGTAGTTACAATGCACTACAAACCATACAATGAATTTGCACTGCCTGTTGGTTTTCGACCCCAAAAACACGCTCTCAACAAGAGCCCGATGCGGCATCGTGGATGTACTACGGGGGCGAGTCCATCTCGTGGCGTCCAAAGCAAGCTCCAGGAGCCCAACCGAGGCAGTCGACACCATGGCAGGCAAGACGACAGAATATTAGATGGGCGGCGAGCACAAGCACAAACTTGTACATTATCACATTTTAAGTGCAGCTAAAGGGAATTTTTGGGTAATTTGTTTGGCTTCATTTCGAAACAGCGTAAAAGACCAAATAGACATGAAGAATTAGCAACACAAGCGCTGACTGGCTAATAAATGTTTTTATTGAAGAAAACGGGAAAAGAAAGAGATGAATAACATCGTAAAGGTGAAGCGTTATATATATATATATATATATATATATATATATATATATATATATATATATATATATATAGGAAGGCATGGTGGCTGATTGGCCGTAGCGTTGCATAGAGTCAAGTAGATCCTTTGTGAACGGTCACAACGTGGTTTATTTCGCCGTTTCAGCCGAGAGTCTGGCCTTCATCAGGATTGAAGGCACAGGTTTTTGGTGTTCAGCTTTATACAATCTCAAATCACAGGGGGAGAGAGAAAGATAAAAAAGGGTAAAAAAGAAAAAAAGAAGGAAAAAAAACTGAAAAAGAGAGTATAAGGTGGATTTCCCCCGGGGCGCCCCTTCAACTCTTCCTTCTACTTCCCCTCCATCTCTCTGCCCTTTCTCCTTTTCACCTTTCTGATCTCGGCGGTCTGTGTATGCTTCCTTTCACTAATGCATTCTTCCCGATCAGACGGCGCCTCCGGGCTCTGGCAGTTCGGTGTGGGGCAAAAAGAGCTTTTTTAAACTTCTTAAAGGTAACAAAAGTAATTGCTATCAGAGTAAACAAAACATTAGAGTTCAATCAACCAAAGAACAAGCAGGATTTTGAACAGGCTACTCAACAATCGACCACATTCATACTATCAATCAGGAAGAAGAGAAATGCTCATAATATAATCAAGCTCTATATATAGCTTTCATAGATTACGAGAAGGCGTTTCATTCAGTATAAATATTAACCGTCATGATGACAATACGGAATCAGGGCGTCGATGAAGTATATATAAACATCTTGGAAGCAGTCTACAGGGGATCAACTGCTACCATTGTGCTTCACAAAGAAAGCAACAGAATACCAATCAAGAAGGGTGTAAAACAAGGGGACACAATCTCCCCAATGCTATTTACCGCGTGCTTACAGGAGGTTTTCAGAAGCCTAGAATGTGAACAATAAGAGTTAATGGAGAGTACCTTAATAACCTGCACTTCGCCGATGACAATGCATTGCTGAGTAACTCAGGGGACGAATTGCAGCTCATGATTACAGAGTTAAACAAGGAGAGCAGGAACGTGGGTCTTAAAATTAATCTGCAGAAAACGAAAGTAATGTACAGCAACCTCGGAACAGAGCAGCGCTTTGAGATAGGTAATAGTGCACTTCAGGTTGTAAAAAGCTATGTCATCTTAGGTCAGGTAATAACCATGGAGCCGAACTACGAGTTCGAGCTAACTAAAAGAATAGGAATGTGGTGGAGTCCATTTGGCAAGCACTCTCAATTTATGACAGGTAGATTGCCACTATACCTTATGAGGATGGTATATAAGAGCTGTATCTTGCCGGTACTTAGCTACTTGGAGACTTACAAAGAGCGTTCAGTTTAAATTGAGGACGACGCAGCGAGCAATCGAAAGAAAAATGGTAGGTGTAACCTTAAGAGACAAGAAGAGAGCAGAGTGGATTAGGAAAAAAACGGGGGTTAATGATACCATACTTGAAATTGAGAAGAAGAAATGGACATGGGCCGGGCATGTAGCGCGTAGACAAGATAACCGCTGGTCATTGAGGGTAACTAACTGGATTCCCAGAGAAAGCAAGCTAGTTTGGGGGAGACAGAAGTACAGGTGGGCAGATCAGATTAAGAAGTTTGTGGATATAAATTGGCAGTAGCAAGCACAGGACCGGGATAACTGGCGGAACATCGGGGAGGCCTTTGTGCTGCAGTTGATGTATTCAAACTGATGATGATGATGATGATGATATATCACAACCACTAAGTTATATATATATATATATTGAATGAACTTGCAGATAGCACATAAGAAAAGGATCGTACTTACTAGCGTTTCGGCCGCGGCACGGCCTTCGTCAGAGTAACATGGATGCTACTCTGACGAAGGCCGTGCCACGGCCGCAACGTTAGTAAATACGATCCTTTTCTTATGTGCTATCTGCAAGTTCATTCAATATAGAAAATACCCGGACCTGTCGTGCCTTCCCTTCAAGTTCTATATATATATATATATATATATATATATATATATATATTTGCACCAAGGAAGTAACGCTGGTCCCGGTAGAATAAAGAAAAATGTACGACGCACCTTGGTTTTATATTCTGACTGACGTTTTGGCTAGTGGAGCAGCCTTTGTCAAAGTAATATAAATATGATTCACATGGGATTATAAAGATTGGCGAGGTAAATCAGAGATTAGGCAATTCATCTTAGACAAGACATCTGGCTGTGCACCTTGCAACAAACCACGCTGCAAGGTTTGCATACATATGCAAACCACCCAGGAAGCCGTTAGTACGTCGTCTAATTTCAGCCTTGAAATTCGCGGCCCCTTTAA